GCTTCCATTTCTAAGAACTAACATGAGCTTCATCAAAATCTGGACTCGTTTAACTTGTTTCCTCGTTAATCTTCTTCACCAAGTTACTGTAAGTTTCCTACATGCGTGTATACATTAACCCCAAAAACCAAAATCGAACCCAAATGGAAGGCATACATCGAAGACTACCCCTTCGCTATCACTCCTCGAATATTTAGATAGCTTCACTATGTATGGACTACGACAAAAAAATTACGTAAATAATCCTAAATATTTAAAATAAAATAAATAAATATATATTATTATTTTATTTTATATATATAAATATATATATAATTTAATAAATATATATATATTTTATATATATATATATATATTTATATATATAAAATATACAATAATAATAATAAATATATAAAATAAAAATTAGAAGATATTAAACACAAGTGTGCCACGTTAAGTACGAATTGTCGGCGTGAAAGGAAGTCTAATTCAATTGTTCCTTGCATCGTATGCGTTCACAAACTTATTACTATTGTACATGTTCGTGAACTCACTAACACCATTCGATACGTTCACCATGTCGTCGACATATGTATATCCTACAATATAAGAAATTCTTCTCACTTCATTTTTAGAATGCAATTCGTGTACGACATTTTCCTATGCACCGATTCATCACGAATTACACGGCAGTTACACCAGCCCCAGCTTTCAATACACGGTAGCGTCAACGCATCCGCTCCCCTACGCACAATAAATAATTTATAAGCGGAGTAATATTATCTAGCTAGCCGGAAGCTCCAGTGAACGTGGAAAAACTGTGGGAACGGTGCGCGCGAGTATCGGTAAAGTCGTTAGTATTTTTCCTCGTTGGAAAGTTTTAAGTAAATCTTAGCCGATCCACTTGCGATTCAGCTCACAGTGGGCTGTTCGACCGAATAACTTACTTTCGACGCCATCACCGGTTCTTAGAACGATAATGATCCATTAAGAAACTCGGAACTCGAGCATTCCAGTGAATACTACGGGTTAGCCTGAGCGCCGCTTTTTCGTGTGCGCAGGCAAAAAGGAAAAAGAGAGAGAGAGAGGGCAGAGAGGAAGGGGGAGAGAGAGGAAGGGAGAGAGAGAGAGAGAGAGGAGAAAGGGCAGGGAAGGAGGGAGGAAAAAAGGGGAAAACGTTAATCGGAAGAACACGGCACCGGAAATGGTGAAGTCTTTCGACTTTTCATCGAACTGGAAGGAGTCGTCTTTGTGCTTAACGGAGGGTGCCAGCATGCGGTAGCGAAGGACGATAGGAAAGGGATGAAGTAGGGCGAGCGAGGCGAAGGGTTCGCTTCCCGATTCCAGATGAACGGATTTCGTTAAAAGCAGATTTACATTTCCTCGTCTCCACCGGCCCACCCGCTCCCTCTCTCTCTCCCTCTCTCTCTCTCTCTCTCTCTCTCTCTCTCTCTCTCTCTCTCTATCTATCTATCTATCTCCATCTTTCTCTTCCTATTTCGCTTCCTATTTCTCGTTCTCTTTCTATTTCTTGTTCTCTCAGATCTCTCTTACTCTCTTACTTTCTCTCCCTCTCTCGCTCTCTCGCTCGCTCTCTCTTTCTCTTACTATTTCTCGTTCTCTCAGATCTCTCTTACTCACTCTTTCTCTCTCTCTTTCCCTCCCTTTCTGCCACTCTCGCGTCCGCTTCTCTCTCTTACGTTTTCCAACTATTCGTGCACTCAGCCCTCGCGCGACTGAATTCTCGTCTCGGCCCATCTCGCACCACGCCGCGGCGCCCAGCCATCTGAAATTTCTCGATGAATTCACGCTTGATTTCCTATAGGTGGATTCCAACACAAAACATCAGCCGCAGCAGTATCCGTCGCAGAAGTGGGATCACAACGATAACGCGTCCCACGCCGATCAGCAGGCGAATCTTCAGTGGATCGAGATCAGGGTGAAGCTTCAGCCGTTCCATTTCTCGAACGGCCAGCTGAACCTGCAGTGCACCGCCCAGATTCCCGGCATATACCGTGCCGTGAACGATCTGCAACTTGGACATGGTGTTCGTGAACCCGTGCCAGAAAGAGGTAACGCCAGTTTTATGCTGAGTCTCTGTGACCGAGCGTGTGTGTCTAATGACGTTCGAACTGATACCGTATTTAGGGTGCAATGGTGCGAGCCATCGGGGTGAATGCTTTGCGAGAGATGTCGAGCAGAATTAGAGGCGTGTCACTTTCACGAAATTGTGGACAAACTTTTCGGTCATTAAATTCTTTTTGTAAATTATGTCGTATTTTTTTTTTTAATAAAAAATAGGAATTGTTGCAAGTTTCAATTTATTTAACCGCTTTTTTATCTATATTCTCCGACACTACGCTCTGGCTGCCATGCTAAGCACCTTAAAAGTTCCGTAAAATTTAAGTGTTTTATTTAATCAAATTAAAATTGGAGATTTAAGTTGTACGGCATCAATTACATGCTCAACCTTGTTACGTTTTACGGATCTTAATAATATTAGGAACATATGTATAATAGATTAATGTACAAATTAATTTTCAAATCGGAGCAATTCATTTTCTTACTCGCATTTTGGTGACTTGGCAGTCGAAGTGTTAATCAAGCATTCGTTAACCCCTTATTGCACTATTTTGTTACAGTTACAATGGTTGAAACTTTTTCGATTCATTCACACATATTTAATTAATTTAATATAATTAATTAATTTATATTCAATATATTTACCGTGTGTCTACATTTCCTGGAATGCATACAGTAATTAATAGACTGCGGATCTTTATGCAAATTCACATTTTTATATGTCATTTTATAAAATTTAGAACTAAAGAATTTCCTTCGTCAAGTAAAGTATTGCACATTCTAAAATAAAAATAAAAATGCTGTTAAACCTTGTTAATTTCTACGTGTCCTTGCATTCTAAAAATCTATGCCTGTCATAAATGCATAAAAAACCGCAGTCTAGTAATTAAATGCTGATGACACGAGAACAGAAACTGATTCCGACTTAAAAGAACGGAATAACACTCGTTCTTTTTAGTTATTACTAGAAATCTCGATCGCAGTCTCGTTGAAGTACATGAAGGGGTTAAGACTGCTTCGAGTTAACGGAAAGTAGATTGTTCATGACGTTCCTTCATTGAATTACACTTCTCTGGTCGAGTTTGAAGAAAATATCTGAAACTCCATAACTCTTTAAGCAGCTATTTAATTGTTAACAGGTATTTCAACCTTATTGAACGGTTCCACATGTTAGATGTCATATCAGTGTCCATATTTACTTAAAAAGACGATTCTTTTTTACTCTCCATATTGAAAGCCTTGTTCCCACGAAATACTTTATATAAAATTTGTGGACATAGTCGCGTAAATATGAAAGTTATGGGGCTGAATGTAAGTAGGTCGTAAGCTATAGAAACTATCAGTTCAAACTTTAAAGCTGTTTACGTCACAGCTGCGTTTTGAACGATGTACAAAATATGTATTATAACTTTCAAGCTGATGAATATTTTACTCGTAATTTTACCTGAAAATGCAGAATATTATTCCTCACAAAACTATCTACATACGTACGGTCGATCGCAAAAATATTCGAACGCTTTGTAAAACGGAATAACTTTTTTAAAACTGAACCAAACAACTTGATTTTTTTTTTAAATGATAGAAGGTTTGGTCACTAGATAATGGCTGAAACAGTGATTACAAAAATTAGAATTGTTTGGAATGATAAAAAAAATTTGAAAATAATGTTCTATCAATTAGTTTATCTCAGCCTGTAACAAAAATTTAAAATAAACGTTTTGCAGATCTCGGTAACTTATATACAGATAGAAAGGTCAAAGAACGAGAGATTTTTAATTATTTTTTTTGTCATTTCCAGTAATAGCAAAATTTAAAAGAAACTAGTAGATTAGTCCCTTTATCATCTAAAACTAATTCAAGTCATTCATTGTTCTAAAAAAAAAAAAAGAACTATTGCGTTTTAAGAGATGTACGAACATTTTTGTGAGTTACTGTATATCCTGAAAGTTTCATCGGCCCTGAAATCGGTTAACGTTGTTATGAGCTACAAACGATTAAAGATACGGAAATTCGCAGTTTTTCACAACTTTCAGCAGACAACTGCAAGAGGTCTTGAGATTTTATCATCTTTCAATGCTGGTCTCTGATCAAAAGCTTCCACTATTTTCCGTCAACTGAATACTGGTTAATTGATATAACGTGATATGATATAACCAGTGCCGTTAAGTCAAACACATCAAGAAAAAGAATAGTAAGCAATAAACTGCACAGAAACTCAATACTTTGATGGCATCTAGAATGCGAGAAAGTCAAACAACTTAGGAAGGCAGCTTTTAAGAAATGGCAGTTCACAAAACACCTCAAAGAACGTATAAATTATAAAAAAGATTTCGGCTTTAGCTTGGAAAACTTCTGAACAAAATAAAGAGCAAAATTCAAAGAATACAGTAATTTCTCCCTAATTCGCGCTCAGATTGCGCATAAAAATGGGCAATTTGGGAAGGAGAGATACGATTATTCGAGCCTTGCGTCTCGTTTTTATAGTTGTGACAGTCGATAACTATAAAAAAACGTGCCGCAAGGCTCGAATAATCGTATCTCGAATTAGGGAGAAATCACTGTATTTAGAAAATCTAAACTTTAGCCTTTGTTTGTATCTCATTCCTTGATTTTGTTACTTCCTAGATGAAAAGAATATGTGGCTGACTGTCAATACATAGTTGCACATATTACGTACCACAAAAAGGTAATTCCTTTTTTCTTAATAGACGTTTACGCGTTATTCCGTAAGTATCCTGATCCAAGTAATTTGTTGAAAGAAGTCCTTCGGCCCAGAGTCTCATAAATTTTCCAAAACAAAAATGAAAAATCCTGCGAGCTCTGTAATCGTCATCAATTTTCCGCTGGTCCCCTCAAAAAGGGACATTCGATCCTGTAGATTCACGATTTCCCCTCAGAACCGAGCGCAAAGGGTCCAGTTGAAGTGGGGCGCGCACTACCCTCCGGACATTCGATATTTAAAAATGTCCAAACGGTGAGCGAAACTCGACCCCGAATTCCTATAAATACGATATTCAGAAGTCCTTTTTCCGGCGCGATCGTAGCCGTTGCGTCCGATATAATTCCGTCGGCATAAATTCGAAAAATCGTTCCACGTTTTGTTTCGACACGGCAGTGGTCCGCGCGCACCTGCCTCTCGACGAGCCTGCTTGCGGCCAGTTGGTGTACGCTGCGGGTAATAGTTGCACGCTCGGGCTACCTAGTCGGGAATTAGCCGGTCGGTCGCACAGGCTAATAAATTTCGAGAGTTAGGGTCCACCCACTCGAATTCGGAAAGGAAGCCTCCGGTGCACGCTGCGCTCGCTTCCTGCACGCGACGTCGACGAGATTTAATTGACCGGCCACGGGTAGAGCCTCGGCCCCTATTACCTTCCGCCGACCGCCGCGTCGGTCGGTCGACCCGCCGACCCCCCGGTCCCCTATTAACCCCTCGTTGCATCTCACCCCCACCCCCTTAACCATTCTCATCCATTCTTTCCATCCACCGTGTGATATCGCTGCTTCGTATATACACATATATATACACACGTATACACGCCCCGCCGGAATTCCTGTCGCGACTAACTTGACATCTTATGACAACGCATAGCTACCTCACCGTGATACGGGGCTGGTGCGGTTTAGTTTTCGACGGGACCCGGAAGCAGCCACCTACGCGTCGCGTAATTAATAACACCGAGATAATCCATACTCTCGCCCCGAAAATTACCGGATTGCAGGAAGAATCTAAGTATCGGCGAATATCTGGAATACCCGGGGAGCACCCAGTCTCCGTGGCTGGGGCTAGACTAATTCCCGCACTGATTTACTCCCGCCAAGATCAATTTTTCCGTTCGTTTCAAATTCATGGATAACGGAATTAGGTTTGGACGTAAGACGAATAATATTTATTTGTTTATTTAACACTAGATTTACGGAGCACAAGAAGCAGCTGTTTTATATTAGTTTAACGCTGACCAATAAGAGGCGAGCTCAACTGGCGCGAGACGGCCGAGCCAACGTCAATGTTTTTCGTTAATAACTCGTAAACAAAGCTGCGAATTGCATTTTCACTAAGGAAAAAGATACTTCAAATAACCTCAGGAACCTCCCATTTCTGGATTGCGAGACGTTTTTGGGACACCCTATAGAAAATCAACGTATCTAGAAGAAGTATCTTAAAAAATATGTTGAAAAAATTTATCAGTGCAGTTATAAATGGTCCTCAGTATACTCAGTCGTATTTTCGTCAGAAAGGTCCAACTTTCGGATGTTTCTCTTCGACATCCTTTGACAATAATTTTGAAAGAAAAGTGCCATATTTCAATCATCCACTCTACAGACTTCCAAATGAATTCGGATAAGAAACAGTACCGAAAGATTCCCAATAATTTGATTATCTATTGCAGTTAAACAAAAGGAGAAGACGGTAGTATTTATATATATATATATATATATATATATATATATATATATATATATATATTTTAAATGTTTATTGTCTC